GTTGTTATGCGCCATCGAGTCGGACCCGACTCATAGCGACCCCTCCTTGGGTTGCCTAGGCTGTACCACTATGGAAGTAGATTGCCCAACCTTCCTTCCGAGGAGTGGCTGGTGGGTTTGAACCGCCAGCCTTCTGGTTAGCAGTCAAGTGCCTTAGGCACTATTCAAGGTAGATTTCCTGAACTCAGAATTGAGGGTGGTAAGACAAATATTAGAGAGCAAAATACATTAAAACAACAACAAAAGAAACATTGTATCAAGTCAATTCCAACTCATAGTGACCCTACAGAACAAAGCAGAATTGTCTCTTAAGGTGTCTAAGGCTTTTTAGTCTTCACGAAGCAGAGTGCTCATCTTTCTCCCACGGAGCCACCAGTGGGTTTGAACTACCACCTTTCAGGGAACAGCCAAATGCTTTTAACTATGGTGCCACCAGGGCTCCTTGCTGAATACATTACAATGGGACAAAAGGGAGGGAGAAAGTAACTGGAGACTGATGGTATATGTAAAGACAAGAATCTGTGCAATGTCTGTCTATTTAGAGTTACTGACTGTAAGGAAGATTATATTGCAATCTCAGGTAGTAATCCTTCTTTCTGAAGATAAAGGGCAATTAGATGCCAAGTGACAAATCACTTGTACTTTTAAATTCCTTTGTTTTTCTCCCTCATGTCCATCCTTTCCCCTGAGTAGTCACACTGACAGTGGGCCTTAAAACACAGACAAGGGAACACAAAGGGCTGGGATATCCTAGACCTAAGCTCCTGATCCAGCTCTCATGGCCAGGAAGGAGACCTCAAAGTCCCCATTTAACTGCCCATGTTTTAGTTGCCTCATCTAAACTAAAATGAGAACTGAAAAATGGGAATGCTTGCTTGCTTTCCTTCTTCACTGTTGTGAAACCACTGTGAGACTCCAATGAGATCAGTGATATGAAGTATTCTGAAAATTTGAAAATTCAAAAAAAGGAACTTATATTTATCAACATATCCCTAAGTAAAAATGCACCAATATGAATCCTAGACTCACTATTTGTATGCACTGATGAAAGAATGGGAGCACACAGATACAAATATTTGTCATTTTAAATTAAGTAAAATCTAATTAAATCCCAGAGAATGGAATGCTCTGGTAGCATAGTGGCTAAGGCACTTGACTGCTAACCAGAAGCTGGCTGTTCAAACCCACCAGCCACTCCTCGCAAGGAAAGTTGAGCAATCTGCTTTTGTAGAGATACTGCCTCAGAAACCCAAGGAGGGGTCGCTATGAGTCGGGTCCGACTTGAGGGCACATAACAACAACAACAACACGTTATGTTAAAATTTTTATTCCCAGTATCAGGAATAATGTTGCTTCTGATTTAACACTCTCTTCACATTATTTTTCCCCTTAGATATTAAAAGCTCCATGAATTCTCCCAGTTGCATCACTTATAATCTGTTGTTGTTGTTGTTGTTATGTGCCGTCGAGTCAGCCCTGACTCATAGCGACCCCTCCTTGGGTTTCCGAGGCAGTATCACTACGGAAGTAGGATTGCCCAACCTTCCTTCCAAGGAGTGGCTGGTGGGTTTGAACCACCAGCCTTCTGGTGAGCAGGCAAGTGTCTTAGCCACTATGCTACCAGAGCTCCCCACTTATAATCTAGGATCAATAAAATGGGGAGAACAACAGTACACTTAATATAAGGACTGAGCCGAACATAAAAAGCACTTAGAGCCATACTAGAATATAAGACTGTCTGAATTACTGTATTAAAGAATCAGCCAAATCATTGGTCCAATACCTACCAGATATACGAGTTTGGGCCCTGGTTCTATCATCTGTATAACGAAGAAAATAATACTAACTACCTCATTGGGTTCTTATGAGGATTTTTTAAAATTATGTATTTCTGTGGAGAAAGGACACCTGGTACATAGTAAATGTTCGTTAAGTGGCAGTGGTGATGGTTTTAGTAAGATCTACAGGTAGTCCCCAACTTACAACAGGGTTCTATTCCAATGACTGTCTTGAGTTGGTTCTGACATAAGTCACATAACCTCATTGTTTTCAGTTTTCATTATTATTGCCTTTTATTATCAATATCTTTATAAACCCAATCTTTGCCTTTGGGAGTTAGCATGAGAACAATAACATCAGCAGAGTCCATGCTGTAGCACTGTATGTACTACATACTACTAAAGATAAGATGTTAAAAAAAAAATTACTGTTCTAAGTGCAGTTTATCATAACTCAAATATATCCTAAGTCCACGACTACCTGCTTACCTGCTCCTTTTAGTACTAGTCAAAAAAGTATAGGTAAATTATACAGAGCTATCACAAATTCTTTAATGATCAATGTTTTTTTTTAGGTCAAATACAATTCTGAAGACAAAGCTACATCAGTCTTGGCAGTAGCAAAAATGTAGGTGACTTTTGAGTAGCAATTATAATTGTAAACCACAACCTTAAATTTGCTTCAGAGTTCCAAAAGAACGAAACCCACTGCCATCAAGTCAATTTCAACTCACAGTAAAAACTTGCAAGATATTCTAAGTAGCCATTTACATATGAGGAACATACTGTTTATTCCTTTACAGTCAACTTTCTGTCTCCTACAAAGTTGCTGTTGTCCAATCAAGCTAGCAAAAAATGTAATTCCACTAGAACAAAGCTCTGCATTTTGAAAGTACTTACATAACTTCTCAATCTTTATCAAGACTGTGTATTGAAAATTTGAGTTGAAGATGAGCTGTCAACAAAGCAAGACTTAAAATAATTGTTGAATGAATTATTTGAAATGAAGGAATATTTTTCTAAAAATCTACATGCAACAATTTTGAGAATAAAATATCAATAGCTAATGGCTCAACATATTAATGAGGAACAAGCCTACTGATAAGACACATCTGTTGAAATGTCACCTTAAGACTTCTTTCTCTTTTAATCTTTCACAAAGCACCAAGCTGTCCCTTGGCACCCAGTGCCTTTATCAGGAATAAAATAAAAAGGTCACCTTTGTTTACAGCCAGAATGGTGCAGTGGTTAAGCTTTGGCTGCCAAATGAAAGGTGGGCAGTTCTAATCAACCAGCTGCTCTGTGGGAGAAATATGTGGCACTTTGCTTCCATAAAGATCACAGCCTTGGAAGCCCTGTGTGACAGTTCTACTTTATCCTGTAGGGTCACTATGAGTCAGAATCAACTTGATGGCAATGAGTTTTTTGTTGTTGTTTAGAGCCATACACAAGAGCCCTGGTTATTCAGTGGTTAAAGAGCTCACCTGCTAACCAAGAGGTTGCCAGTTCCAATCCACTAGCTCCTCAACATGAGAAAGACGTGGCAGTGTGTTTCTGTACAGATTATCCTTGAAAACCCTAAGGGGCACTTTTACTCTGTCCTACTGAGTTGCTGTGAGTCACAACTGACTCAACAGTAAGGAGTTTTTGTTTAGTAGAGCCATATATAAAGTCTGTGATGGCTCTCAAATGCTTTTGTCAGAAACAGCTACTTTTCATTTTTCTGTAACAGAAGGAAATAAAGGAAAATTAAAGAAGACAAAAAGGAGAAGGGGCAAAAAACAGAGTAAAAATTGTCTCTGGTGTTTTTCAGGCCCAACAGTTTGAAGGACTATCCGGGTTTCTGCTTGATTCCTCTTTTTCTTCAAAGTTTCATTTCACAGCCATGGACAATGTGCTACCACTTTCTTACTATGGACTATATTTTCAGTTCCTTTAATTTTCTGTCATATTACATTCTCAATCACTGTTTCTGGACCTCAAGGCAGTTAAATCATAGCTTGCCAGAGTTAAAAGGAATCTTAGAAATCATGTTCTTATACCCATTTGCTCCTATACAGTCTTCTAAGCCAGCAAGTATATTGATGACTGAGAGGGCTGATGAATTCTAGATCATAAAATGAGTGTGAGTCAAGGCCACATAGAGAATCTAGGTCTTCTCTCTTCCTAGGCAGAAAGGTTTCACTTTACTTGGTGTATTTCAGAATTCCTTGTTTCTGTGCCAAGATTGTTCCATTCATTCTTATTACCGAAAAAGTCAATCCATTGCCTGCTTTTTCTTTCCAACCAAAATATTACATCTTAGGAATCAAATAATGTATCACTCAAAGAGCCTTTTGATTTTATTTTAGTACTTGAATTTTAAGTCTATAACTTTTAATGAGCACAGGTTAAGAGCAATCTTCTCAACATCATTTAGTTTTTCCTCTAATGTGTTTAGTTTCATAAAACAATTATGTCACAGGCTAAAGTTATGTCACTTTAATAATCTGAGACTTTTATGACTACTTAAATGCAAAAGGTTTAACTTTATGCCCAATCACTTCATCATAAACAACCATAACTTTGAAAAGATAATTTCTTTCACTTACCATACATGTGTATGATATATACACAATTGATAACAGTAAACATACAATTTTCTTATTAAAAAAAAATTAAAGCACTAAAATCCAACAAATATCTGCCAAAACCCAAATAGGAGGAGTTACTCGATAATCTCAAATGTTTCAGTGATTCATGTCTTCTCCAAGTCACCTTCCCAAGTATCAACATAGAGAAGGAATAGTAGAACATTCTCAACTTTCAAATACTAGTGGCTTTGATATGAAGATTGGAAGGAAGGAATGCTGATCCTCAGACATGAGTGCCCAACAAACTATCTAAAGGATGGACAACAGTAATCTACTCTGTGAGGCAGCCAGCCAAAACAAATAAATAAAAACCACCTCTCCATAAAAGCTCTCCATCATACTGCTTTAATTAAAAAGTAACTCTAACTTGTTTTAGGCAGTTGTTGGTGCTATTTGGTTCTTTGTTGTTTGGGGTTTTTTGTTTGCTTATTTTGATTTTTTGTCTAAGTCATCTATATGTGAAATTAAGTAAATACTGACGATAACTCAGTCACTTAAGTCACATGCTCTACTTCAGCAAGATATGAAACTGTAAATATGCAATAAAAGGCTCTCCAATAAAAAATATGAAAAAATAAAATGTAATTACCTTTCCAAAGTCACGAACATCAAACAAGTCAAATGCCTCAAAGAGTTCACTTTTTCTCATTCCAAATGTCTCGCAACAGGCTGTTAGAAATGTTCTTATGTTCTTCAAGCAAAGAAACTGAAGGATGGAAAATAACTATTAGTATACAGTGAATCATTTTGAATGCTATCTACATCCATCACACCCAGAATGATATAAAAATGGCTGGGAATAGTTAATCACCTTTTGTGGTTGTTTCCCAATTATTCATGCAGCAGTATTTACTGAAGCAGTTGCCCTTGAGTTGACTACAACTCATGGTGACACCATTTGTGTCAGAGTAGAGGCGTGTTTCCTAGGGCTTTCAATGGTTGACTTTTCAGACGTAAATCACCACACCTTTCTTTTGGGACACCTCTGGATGGACTTGAACCTCCAATCTTTCAGTTAGTAGCTGAGATGTTAATATTTCTTGAGCACTCCCTATCTCCTAGGCATTCTTCCAAGCAGAGGTGATACAGCTGTGAACCTAACAGACAAAATCACTGCCTTCATAAAATTTAACTTATTATAATGAGAGAAGACAGACAAAAACAAAAAAGCATGAAATAGTAATTTTTTTTTCACTTGATGACAAGTGCAACAGAGGAAAATGAAACAGAGAAGAGGGATCAGGAATACGGGAGAAGAGGAGTCATTTTAAACAGGATGGCTAGAGAAGACCTTGCTAAGATAAGTGAAGAGAGACAGGAATATGCCAACCAGAACTGCAGCACCAGAATATTCCAGGCTAATTAAGTAGCAGCATGTACTAAGGCCCTGAGGCAGGAGGAAGCTTGGTATGGGCCAAGGAAAAGGTGAATGCAATAAGAGCAGAAGGAAGTGACAAGAAAAGGAGTAGGAGGTGAGGTAAGAGAAGTAACAGGGTCAGATGATGAAGGGTCTTATAGGACTTCCTATCCTGAGATAGGAAGTCAGTGGAGATCTTGCAACAGAATGACATGATCTGACCTGATGTTTTAAAAGGGTCTTTCGGGAAGACCAGTTAGGAGGCTATTATAATCATCCAGGCTAGACACAACTGTGGGAAAGCCAAGTGTTAAATGTTTAATATGTTAAATTTGAAATGCCTCTTAGTCATACAATGATATGTGAGACAGGCGATTGGATATACAAGTCCGGAGTCGAAAAGACAGGTTTGTACTAAAGAGGTAAATGAAATTCTTGAGTAGGCAAAGGGGAGTGGATCTGGTGGTGCCCAAGTGGCTTTAGACAGAATGACATCAGCTTGTCCACAGCAGCAGGAGAGAAGGCAGAAGCTACTGAAACACCACAGTCAGAGCTCACTTTCATTATCCTAAAGATAATAAAAGTATCAGATCTGCCTAAACAGAATAGGCACATCCCCTGAAAGTGAATCCATTCTTTTTGGAAATATTAGCTGCTATGGCATGTGCAAAAACACTTACTAGCCTCCAATCAGTGAGCAGCATATTATTACCTGTCGCATCTTTGCTTTTTTTTCTTTCTATAAGCACCAATGTTTTGTTTAATCTTGTTTTTTGTTTTTTTAGTTTGCAGAAAGCACATCTTATTTTTTCCACATCTGAAATATTCAGATTCTTTTATAGGCTTAAGTGAAATACAGTTTTACCCTTTACAGGAATCCTCCTCAGAGGCTTAAATATTTAAGGAGGGGTTAAAAACCACAGAAGCAGCATCATAAGCCCTTCCAGGCACAAAGGCAGCAGCCAATCAGCACATTCAGGAACTGCTTTCACTTTAAAAATTCATAAGAGACCTTTAGGAGACAGACTTACTCTGCATGTGGCTCTTCCCATAGACTAGCTTATTTACAGATTAAAAGCCTCGCATTCTGCCAAGACAGACAATAATTACTCTCTTGGGGATTATGCAACTGCTCTCTTGCAATATTTTTACATAATTAAGTGCTCGACTCATAGCTCACCAAGGAACAAAGTATAATTGCACATACCACCCTCTGAAGATTTCTAACCAAACTTAAATGTTCCCCCTGTGTAGGGAAAACTACAGTGCCTTCCACTAAAGTGCTTTGATCATTAATTCAGAAAAGAAAAATTCAAACAGTAAAAACAGTATGAAATATAGTCATACTCACATTCATAGAAGAGGAAATTTAAAAACAGGCCTTTTCCTTACTTCTGGAACCAATATAAATCTTAGTTGCCCCCCAACTAGTTCAAGTCTACTAAATCCACCAAAACATATTTGTAGATTTGAAAAAAAGTCACTCAGTTTCTAAACTCTTGCTTTTCTAGGCATTCCTCAAATTTAGTCATCCCCTTTATGTGTTTTTTTCATTCAATAGTTTTTGAATGCCTATTACATTTCAGATACTGAAAATGCAAAAAATGAATAGGACACAGGCCTGCCCCATGCTTCTCTACTAAGCTTGTCTAGAGATTTTCACAGTGCTTCAAAATTTGGGTAGTAACGCTAGGCTCACGCTTCACACAATGATCACAGGTCATTTGGCTCTATGCTTACAAAGGAACAGAGTCCAGGAAGGAAGAAAGCCCAATGGGCCTTGATGCCACTGCTGATGAACAGAGCTTCATCTGCTCCCGGAACTGCCCACCCCACGACTGGTGTTTTGCTTTCATCATATTGATTTTTTTTTTTCTTTTTCTAGTTTACTTTAAACAAAAGCATTTAAATTAAAATTTTAAAATTTTTCAAACCTAAAGTAAAGTAGGAAGAAAGAATCGTTCAATGAGCACTCTGCTAGCTCAGGAATTATAGCATCTCATCATCTATGCTTCTGCATGCATTCCTTTTCTGTCTTGATTTATAAAATTTATTTAGCTGAACCATTTGACAGTAAGTTGTAGACTTTGTGTCACTTCACTCTGAAATAATGCCACATGCAACTCTTAAGAATAAAGACATTTTCCTACATTCTGACAATATAATTATCACATTTAAGAAAATATTATTTAATATCCATTTCATATTCAAATTTTCTCAATTGACCCCAGACATATTTTTTCAATATTTTTCCTTCAACCTGAGATCCGATCAAGTTTAATTCATTGCATTTGACTATTCTGTCTCTGTAGTATCTTTTAATCTAGAAAATTCTGCTACCTTTTTATATTTTTAAAATGACATTGATTTTTTTAAGAGTCTGGATCAATTGTCTTACAATTCTGCATTCTTACATTCTGCACTTGTCTGATTATCTCCTCATGATATCATTAAACCTGTCCCTCCATCACTTTTGTTTCCTGTGAACCAAAAGCTAAGTCTAGATTCAAATTAAACAGTTTGAGCAAGAATACTTTATACTGTGAACTTCATATTTCACTGCATCAGGAAGCACAAAATGTCATGTTGTCCCCTTATTTCTAAGGTTGATGACTTGCTTAGATGATTACTGCCACATCTCTCTAATACAAAGATACATATCCCTCTTTAAATTAAACATAATCTAGGAGTGGTAACTTGGTGCCATTTAGTTGTACTATGGTTGTCCTATTTCCCAATATATTTTCGCCATGGTTTTAGAATCTACTGATGATCTTTGCTTCAATTATTCCATTTGGGACTGTAAAAGAGTTATTTTTCTAATTCTGCCTTTCCCTCTACATTTATTAGCTGGTATTCTACTTAAAGAAGAGCTGCTTTTTCTTCTCTCCCCACCTTTTTAACATGTTGTTGTTGTTGTTGTTTGCCGTCGAGTCGGCCCCGACTCATAGCGACCCCTCCTTGGATTTCCAAGGCAGTATCACTAGGGAAGTAGGATTGCCCAACCTTCCTTCCCAGGAGTGGCTGGTGGGTTTGAACCGCCAGCCTTCTGGTGAGCAGTCAAGTGCCTTTTTAACATATGTTTATGTAACAATCGTTGTTGTTGTTGTTATGTGCTGTGGAGTCAACCTGACTCATAGCGATCCCTCCTTGAGTTTCTGAGGGGGTATCACTATGGAAGTAGATTGCCCCAACCTTCCTTCCAAGGAGTGGCTGGTGGGTTTGAACCTCCAGCCTTCTGGTTAGCAGTCAAGTACCTTAGGCACTATGCTACCAGACTTATCATTAATCTTTTTAATGCTCATACTGTCTTCAATTTGCCAGTGGTGTCCCTTCAACTGGTTTGTGTGTCCTTTTTACACATGACCCTATTAGTCTAAGTTGTCTTGCTTTCTTACATCAAATTGTCCCAGCCTCACCATATATTTTCTCTGCCCTAGTTCTGAAATCAACCATTTCTCCAAGGAGGTCAGTTTCTATTTACATTGTTGCTGTTGTTAAGTGCCATCAAGTCAGCTCCAACTCATAGTGACCCTATGTGCAATGGAACAAAACATTGTCCAATCCTGTGCCAGTCCCTCAATCCTTGCTATACCTGAGCCTATACTTGAAGCCACTGTGTCAATTCATCTCGCTGAGGGCCTTCCCCTTTTTCATTGGCCTCCTACTTTACTAAGCATTATATCCTTCTCCCAGAAATGGTCACATTAGTGAATCGTATTTAGAAACCAAAGTCTGCTGAGCATCAGCTTGCTCCTAGATCACATGAGCCATTCATATTAAGTCAGTCCACCTTTTGCTTAAAGCAATGATGGGTCAGGTTTCTATTAGTTGCAAAAGAAAGAATAAATGTAGACAGGATTATTCTAACTGGTCTCTAATGTACCTCTCAGAAAATTCTGTAATTTTCTTTGTGGAATGCCTCATAAGCCAAATCATATCTCATTCTGTTAAGAAAAGGGAAAAGTGATTTCATTAAAGGGGACTGATGAACACAATAGTTTGTTTTATGGCTAGAGATGTGACTAGAGTTTTGAAACAATATTATTTCGGTGTAAGTGTTTTACCCCAAAAGTCTGAAATTCTGAGATTGAAACCATCTGAAAATCCTTTGTACCATCAGCAGCAGCTTACAACATACTACCTTCAGAGACGGTATATGAGACACAATGATAAATCTCATTTCATAACCATACATTTTTGTGACCAAAAACTATATAACTTTGCTAAATAATCTTATCTGAAATAACTTTAGGATTTTTTTTTTTGAATTCAGGATTTTAGGATTTAGAATTAAATCCTTTAAAATTTTAAACAATATTCAATTTACCCATACAAGATAAAGTTGC